AAACCTTAGCTTTGCAGTAAGAAGTTTCTGGGTTCAGGTCCTGGTCCAAGGTTAGTCTGGATCCAATGTATATTTTGTGTGCGTAATCTGGCACTGGCTACCAACCACAGCCCCCCCAAAATTAGTTGTACAGTATGTTAAGTGACCTCTCCAAGTTGTCCTTAGGTCTCACACTGTATGTGCATGGATGAACACACAGTCATACCTTCTGGCACCTTTGTTCTTTTTTGTAGGGCGTTACTTTGCATTTGGATTTTTTTTCTTCCTTTTTCTTTTTCTGCATCTGCGTCTGTGTGGTGCAAAAGAGTGAATGGTAATTGATCTTATTAGAGATCTAAAAAAAAACTTTACATAAAAGCTATGAGGTAAATAAAACCAAAAAAACCTAGTATTTGTGTTGCAGATGGTGCTGGTCTTTAAGAATCCTGTGCATTTTTAATTCTTTTAATTCAATTCAAATGCAGAAATACTGTATTAAACCAAAATTGAAATTAATTTAATCCCAAATGGACATTAATTAAACCCAAATTCATAATCAATAATTTATAAATTATCAGAGTTTATTTATCCATAATTTAAACATGATTTCAGGATTTACACAAAAATAGACTTTGACCAGTAGGATGAAAACAGGGGGTTCCACAGTTTGATTAAAGTTAAACTGAAATGCTTCAGTACATCAGTGAATTTTGACAAAAAATATAGAATTTCCAGCATGGTCTGCTCATCTTACAAGTGTAATCTTTGTTTCTGCTTGTAAACAATAGTGCTGTGATGCAATGCCAATTTTTGAGCCACTCAGACCGCCGTACACCGGCGTTGCGTTGTCACTAGGAAATCCATTCAACAGCAGCCTATGGCCGCCTCCTTGCAGTTCGCCGCAATGGCAGGAAGCCTTTTTTATGTATGTAATCCAAACTGCAGGCACCAGGATAATAAAAGCGAACATGTTTTGCCCGCAGATTTTGACGTTTGGTTAATTTAGGGGTTTATAAATAGTTTCAGAGGAGTGATCATAGCTCTCTGCATCATCAATGCTGCCTGTCTCCCTGCCAGCTCCGTGCGACGCGCTGCTTCAGCTGCTCAGATGCGCTGCAGACAGTTTGCTCGTTCATGTGTTTTGAAGGTGTGGTTTCAAGGGATTTGAAGGGAGAGACATGGTTGTTTATGTTCAAAAATATAGCTTGCTGGAACCGTTTTCCAAGATCTCCTACTGCACCTTTAAGGCCAATGGCAAGAGACTTGGATAAGTTTCCATCAAAGTAGCTTGTACCAAGGAGATGCGCTATCCCCATTGCAAGCTATACACTGAATCAAGCTATACACTAAGAATTAGCGAGACATCGACTCACTGATCCATGCCACCTGAATCTACAGCACAGATATCGGGATGTTATTCGGACTAAAGAAGTGTGGTCAGATGGTGACTAAGAGAGGGAAGGTACTCCACACAGAGGGGGTCTCATTCCCAGAAGGAACAATAGCAGACAATGAGGACAGTTACAAGTACCTGGGAAACCCACAAGCAAATGGCAACCTTGAAGAGGTGACAAGGACAGCGGCTATGGCCAAATACCTCCAACGATTGGGCCAGGTCCTAAGAAGCCAGCTCAGTGGCAAGAATAAGTCTTGGGCGATAAATAGCTATGCTATACCAGTAATCAGATACCCTGCAGAAATAATAAGCTGGCCAAAGGATTAGATACAGGGCACCAATGTTATGACACTAAAGCTCCTAACCATGCCAGGAGGGCACCATCCCAAAGAAAGGCAAGATTGTGGTACTTATGAGTACAATGCACGAGGATGGAGAAATCTGTGACCAGGAAGATCACAAACCAGAGATGCTTTGACATGTTGTACATCTCAGTGTACAATGCCTTTGTCATTTGGATGGCCCTGAACCAAGAGTGGAAACAAGTGAAACTGCAGAAAAGACAGCTCTTTCTTGATGATCTGAGAAAGGCAGTGGTAAGACCACAAGCGAGAGAAGAAAATATTTCCCCAGAACCCCAGCCTCTGCAGCCATGGTGAGGAGGATTCAGAAGAAGAATGCTGGTGCCCTGTTCACTGAACCTACCGAGCCACAATCTGCAGAGCCTGAAGTAAGTGTGTGATGCTGTTGCAGTACATGTCTGGCACTCATGTCTTTTGTAAGAAAGAGAGAGATAGGTGTTAGTAGAATTCCAGATTTTTTGATTATTCTAGGTTGTGAGCACCAGCAACAAGAAGGAACGGTGCAAAGTGTGCGGACCCAAGATGGACAGGAGAACACAATATACATGTATCAAGTGCAAAAAGTATATCTGCAACACACACAGTAAAACTCATGTGTTGTATAGGCTAGTGGCTAAAGGCCATGTGTTCAATGCGGCTGATGTGTTGTCTTGACTGATAAGTTTACTCTGTGTTCCTGTGTTCAGCTTGTGTTGTACACCTGAATGGGTTAAATTTCAAGTTCAAAGAAATAAAAGTCAGTAGTTTTGTAAAACCTTGCTTCACTTGTAAATTTGTTTCCACTCATATCTTGATAATTACAAGGCCCATCTTGGATTTCTGCCCTCTTACATTTGTACCTCACTTACACAGAAAAACATGGCTTCTTATGCCCTAAGATCCAACAGTCAGCTGTTGCTCACTGTTCCTTTTGCTCGCACAGAACTAGGGAAAAAAGTCTTTAGCTACCCAGCCCCTTGTGCGTGGAATTTTTTACAAAAAAACTGGAAGTTGAATGGAAGCATTTAAAGAGTTTTTAATCTTTAAATGCTTTTAAGTTAAAAGTGAAAGAATTTGAGGCAGCCTCAATGATCTGTAATTGTTTTACTTGATATGTTTGGGTTTTTTTTTATGTACCTGTCATTTCTTTTACTGTATCTATGTTTCTTATGTAACTTTGCTGCCTCTTGGCCAGGACTCCCTTGAAAAAGAGGATTTAGATCTCAATGGGATTTTTTTCCTGGTTAAATAAAGGTTAAGTAAAAAAAATAACAGATTTTCTTGATAATGTTTTAAATAATAAGTTATAAATGTGACATAACAAAGGTAAAGGGCAAATATTAACCATATATATTGTTTACACTGCTTGTAATTGTGATAAGGTAAGCATCTGTTCAGTATTTTAACATGAAAGTATTTGATTGTGAGGAATTAAAAGCGCCAAAATGCAACTGGTCCATCAGACCAACAAACATGAGTAACAATAATATCAACAGTACACTAGGGATATAGTGGATAGAAAATAATCTGTAGTTTTACATTTTTTTCCAAAACCAATGAGAGATTTGGGTATGCCTTTATATTTAGTTGCACTGATTCAGTTCTTTATAAAACCACCATTCATTCCAGGTGTTTTGACATAGGTCTCCACCAGCCTGCATCGCTGTGTTTCCCTGTGAGGATGATACTTTCAGGTTGAGATGCAATGTTAGTTTTACCCCACATACTTTAGTCAAAACTTTCCATTTTGGTTACATCTAACTCAAGTACCTTCTTCCATGGTTGTTGTTTTGTCACACATTACTGTTTTATCAATGTCAGATGTAGGGTTTGCAACCGCAAACCTTTTAAATGCGTGTCCCTTCTTATCTGTAAAGCCTTGTTGCCCCTCCTTAATAATATGGGCATGTAGGATCATCCTCTGATTAATTATCCACCAGATTTACTCGGAATAAGTTAAAACCTTGTTAAACTGGATTTCATTAAGGGGTACTGGGGTAAATAAAATTACTTTCAGGTTTTAGATTGTTTAAAAAGTAAGAATTCACCTCACAACTATGTACAAACAATGACACAGATTGTGGAAAAATTTCAGGGAGGTTTATCAGTTTTTTTTAAATGAAAATTAAAACCAAAACAGCAATACTTTTAGTTGTCATAGGTCAGTTTTATTTAATAGTTCCCAAGAGCCGCAATTAATGGGTTAAGAGTGCTTAACGTCTTTCGGTTCGTGACAGAAACCTTTTGCGACATATTAGATTTTGTATCAGACATTGAATGAGATGGATAAAGCCCATCAGATACTTGCATGCAGTATATTTCAATATTGCACAATAAGAAAAGGGTTTATATTTTCTGTGAGCAACAAATGCAGTCAGAACTATTAGCATTTAATGAGAGACAAAGCAAATCTTTACAAAAGCTCATTAAACTTTAAACCCTGCTGTTTTATAGTCTCAAGCAGATGACAGAAACTGCTGTGACTATAATATGAGTTAAACTTTATGGCACACTGCACCAATCTGTCTCTCTTACTGATAACTAACTAAATATCACTCCAGCTTTCCCTCCTGCAGAGGTTAACACATCGCTGCTCCATCCGCTTTCTCTCCAAAGCCCAAAATACAACCAGATGTAGAAAGAATGAGAGTAGAGACTTGGCTCGCTGTTCCACAAGACAGTTTGTTTTCCACTGTTTTTTCTACATTCTGTCAGGTGCAAGCTGTGCACCAAACAATGTGTTTTTATTCCCTGCAGGACAAAAGGAGGAAATTCCTCTCCAGTGATAGATCCGATAAACTCCAACCTTCATAGGCTCGTAATATTTGTTGTTTCATTCTCCACGTTTCCCCCCAGGAAGTGTTTTTTTGATGCAGTGCTTCTGTGCTGTCCCACAAAGTAAAAAGTGCCCTGGTTGAGGGTACTGAGATCCCTCTTGTTGGCTTCCAGACAATAAATTCCTTCCTCCGAATTCCTCCTCAGTGGTAGCAAATCCATCTCTACAGGTTCACTTTGAGGAGGTAATGATACCACATTTGTAGAGTGTCGTCTCGCTGGAAGGATATCCGCCTTTTGTGAGGAATGCTGAAGTGAGTGAAGCTGGCAGGGAAATAAAGAGCTATCGTATACACTGGGATTAGATTGACACCAGTCTGAGATGCTTTGGTCAGATGCTCTTTGGCTGTCTGATATCACTCTGACCTCTTGCCTTAGCCCCTTATGTCTGGCTAAGCCCAGCAGGCCAGGGATTGTGACCACAGATGCAGAAGCTGCCACAGCAGCAGCTATGCGGTGGCACTCTGCAGCAGACACCTTGCTCTCTTTAATCTTGGTTGAAGGAGCAACAACAGCAGCTGAGCTCGAGAATGATGAATTATTGAAGACAGCAGCCACTTTCTGGTAGTATCGTGTCCGTATGACCTTCGCAGAACGATACAGATCTCCTATGAAACAGTAACAGATGGGGTTAAGGCTGGAGTTTGTTAAGCCCAACCACTGAGCAAAGGGACGTGTCTGCAGGAGCCAAGAAGAAGGCCTCTGTTCGCAGTCAATGAAAAGATCAGCCAAATAAAGTGGCAGCCAGGAAAGGGCAAATAGAAGCACCAGACATACCACCATCTTAGCAATCTTCTGCCTAGTCTTTAGTCGGGAGGTGTGAAGAGCTTGGCTGCGAGGATCCAGATCAGAGAAAGTGGATTTCCTTCCTCCCCAAAGTCGTCTCCCCGTGAGGAAGCTGATGGTGAGGTTAAACGTTACTGGCAAACAGTAAAGCATCACAAACAGCAGGACGTTGTACCTGCATGAGAGAAGTAAAGCAATTAAAAAAATTGCTGACAAATTTAGCTATAAAATATGATACAATGTTTTATACAGAGGATATGGCCAATTCAAATTATATTAACTGCACTGGATACAACTCTTAGTGATGTGACAACCCTCTTATTGTGTACAATAGGGTAAAAAAAAAGCACAACGTAAATTTTAGTTGTTATGCAGATGAAAGCCTCTTGTGTTTATCTATAAAACTGTATAGATTTGTCTTGACAAAAATTAAGGAAATGATACATACAGTTGGCAATCAAGCACAAGGTTTTTTTTATAAATAATCAAATGTATTTAAAATAAACATTAATCCTATAATGCTTTATTTGAAAAATACTAGTAAATTAGTACATTTTATCTATGTAGCGCTTTTCAAAGATTAACATTGGAAAGTTCTTTATAATGTACACATTTTAAGAATTGGGAAAAAAAAAAAAACGTCATTGTTTTTTAGATACTAGAGTTTAAATCATACATCATCCCCGCTCTCTAATTATCATTTATGTTATTCATCTGCTCCCTCTGTTATATGTACAGACCAGCCCAGCTATCAAGGCCAGATCATTAATTCTTCGTGTATTCTTTGTTTATTTGTGTTATGCATTCGGGTGAGATGTTCATGTTAGTTTTTATAGTTTTCGTTAAGTTCCTGATTCATGCCCTAACTCTTGGAAGCTAGTGTATTGGCGGGTTTTGGTGTTTGTCTCCTGTCTCTTGATCGTGTCCCGGCTCTTCTCCGCTGAGTCCTTAAGGTTTTGGCTATATGTGTGGGGGGGAGCATGGGTTCTGGTCCTTCTCCGTGGAGCCCTCAGCGTTTTGGTGGGGAAGGTCAGTTTTAGTGCAGTAAGCCTGGCTCCTCGGAAGAGACCAGTTTAAAGTTTGACATTTATCCTGGTACCATGTCTTGTCTATGTTCCTCTCTACCACTGAGCCTGCCTGTTTCCATCTGAGCGTGTCTGTCTGAGCACGCTACTGGACTTATAGAAGTCTGAACCTGTCTTCATGCTGTAAGAATTCCTGGAACCCCGGATCTGTCCGTTGCTGTCCGGATCGGAACCCCTGGTTGGGCTGCAGACTGGATCACGGAGCTGTCCGGTTCTGAACTGTTTCTCTGACCTGGAGCACTAACCTGCGTACTCACTGGGGTTACTGCATCAGGGACACTCTCCAACTTATTCTACACCTCTCAGGTCTCTTCCCTGTGCCAGACTAGATTCATGCTCAACAGGGTCTCCTTTCCCCGCTGATTCTGCCAAGCTCGTTCTCTTGGCTATCGTTTCACTGGATGGGGGTTAGGGACCTGATAGCTTTTAACCAATTAAAAGCGGTGGGAGTTTATGTTTCCCTATTGTTTCTCAGTAAGCTCCATAATTGACTTCACTGTCTGCTTATATGTACAACATCATGATTAGTTGAACCAGTCTTCATTTACTGACATTAAGCAAGCAAGGCATCCTTTCAGTAAAATGCAGAAGTCACAGTTTGACATTTGGTGTCTAAGTTGAGTCAGAATTGGGTCTAAGTCTGTCTTTTCTGAGAGACTTTTATGCATGGTGATCACTGGTAATCAAATATTAAGCCAGCATTATGTCAGAAGCTGTATGATGGTTACAACCACCTATCTACTTGAAACTGAGGGATTTTTATTCAACTATTAATGTACATGTTTACATTTGCACATTATTTTGACATTGTTTTAACTAAAATAAATCCACAATATGTTTGAACTTTTCAAATCATTTCGGTCAGTTTTTGTTTTTTTTCTCAGTCAGCCTGTAAAAGTTATCAAAATCACAAATTCACCAATGAATCTAGATAAACAAATAAAAAAAAATCAGTATGAAGTTAATGTCTTCATAAACTGCTTACTGTATTCATGCGTTTCTGAAGGTGCATGTCTTTTTTTAATCTGTTTTTCAGCATTTTACTGATTTGAATGCAAATTAAAGAAAAGGGCCCTTTAAGGTTTTTAATTCTTGGAAGAGTTGCCAGTTCCCGATTTACCTCAGGGTGTTATTTATGATTTTCTGCTCCAAAAAACAGCTATTATTTTCTTTGTCTTCTTGTTTCTCTGTTGTCCCCTAGCACATAACTGAGATGGCCACCCACTGTCAGACTGCCAGCCTGAAGAAAAACAGATTTCAGGAAATTTTCCGATCTTTCACAAAATTTGTTATTAGGCAACACACTAAATACAACACCTTGCAATACTACTCACACCCCAAACTTCCATTATAACTAGAAAACATATTGTATTCTTCTAGAGTTTTTTTGTAATTGTTTGCGGGTGTGCCTCTATCATTGTGTCCCATCTGTAAAGGCTACATTTTGACCTTTGTAAAATAACTGAAGCTTAGTCTGATTTAATGAGTCTCTATATACAGAAGTATTTCTTTTGTCTTGCCACATTTTCAGTCGGGATTAGATCCAGACTTCCACTGAACTATTCTGACACATGAACATAGTACTTTGATCCAAACTATTCCATTCAAGATCTGGTCATACGATTATATATAACAGGATCAATGTCAGATCTGCCCCGTATTCAGTGTACTCTATATTTCAACCAGCTCTGACCAATTTTCTTCTCCCTGCTTAAGAACGGCATCCCCATAGCATAATGCTGCTACCACCCTGTTTAACTGCTGGTGTGATGTTTGCCACACAAAGCAAATTTGCATGTTAACCAAAAATTTAAATTATGGTCTCATCTAACAAGAGCTCCTCTTTCATATATTGCCAGTGTCTCCAGTAAATGTCAAAAGGGACTTCCTGTATCCTTCTTTGAACAATTGGTGGAGTCCATCATTGTCAGGTTGTACTCTGACAACTTTTCTGCAGCTCCTCCAGAGCTACCATAGGGGTTTTCTGCCTATGAACCTGGTAAAAGAAAAAAAAGCACTGTCTATTCTGCCAGTATAGACGCTTGTTGGTTTGTTACCAGATGTGCAAAAAATAAAAAATCTAAGTTTTCTATAGCTATCTTTGCAAGGCACTGTAGATAGAGTAGGAAAAAAGACCCTTTTGTTTTATCAAGTTGTCATCTTTGAATGTGGCCCAAAGTGATTACTTTCAAAAATGTTGTATAACTCATTTTAATGCATCAGGAGCCTACTGGCTCTTTCTATATGATAATTTTGACTTGTTATTATACAGAATATGCAAGAAATGATTATGATGGAAATGTCTTTTCCACTCGTATAGACAAACACATCAGCAATATGAGGTTGGCTGGTGGCTGCTGCCTTTATTTTGTTCACAAATTGAAAGGTGATACACAAATAATGAAGCCGAATTAACATAGCAACTAAATCTATGCCAGAACATGCAAGAGTGTATGCACTGGCTGTTACCTGAGACTCTTGGGCCCTAATAAACCAAAATGGACCCGATGAGGTTATTTACTACCTCCTGTTTTCTGGAAAAAAGTTACTTACAAACACATTACACAGCAAATCAAAAATGTTTCTGTGACAGCCCTCTTTACCTCAGTCTAGCATAAAATATCATTTACAGGCAAAAACAACGCCCGGCATGAAAATTACAAGAGATGGATGCTCATTATCAGGCAGGGCCAAACACTCCTGGGTGGCTTTTAGTTTAGTTGTTTTTAACCCTGGAGCTCAGGTTCAGCTATTCATGGATGAGCCTATCTGGATGCTGAAAAAGAAATAATATTGTTCAGCTCTGGTACACTGTGGAGTCAATATGGTAGATTTATGTTGTGACTCTTTCCGCTCTTGCAAGCTCCCATCCTTTGGTGGGAAATGTGCTACAATTGAAATGAAAGTCAATGTGTTTTCTGGGCTGTGCAAGGAAGTAATCAGATACTGTATATTTTTAGAGCTCTATGTCCATCCATCCATTTTCCGTCATGCTTATCCCAAGTTGGGTCACAAGGGGTGCTGGTGCCTATCTCTAGCTTTCTATGGGTGAGAGGCGGGGTACGCCCTGGACAGGTCGCCAGTCCATCGCAGGGCAACACAGAGACAAACAGGACAAACAACCATTTATGCACACGCTCACACCTTAGGAGAATTTAGAGAAGCTAACTAACCTAACAGTCATGCTCTATGTGCTCAAATATAATACCAGACAAGTGAAACACTTCTATGACGTAATTAATAGTCACTGGATTCTAAAGTTATCTAGAAAGGTTAAAGAAACCGTCTACTCAGCAGGACAACTTAAACAAAAGTACTTTAGTACTAATAGCTTAATATTTTCTATCACATTGTTGCAAATTTAGCAAACAATATTGACGTCATATCAATGTTTAACATCTATTTCATAATGTTAAAGCACCAAAAATATTGTTTTGATAAATATATGCTACTATTGCACCACACAAATGGCATTGACTTAGGTTCAAAATTTAATGTGTACTTTTTTTCCAAAAGTAGGTGGAGCAGTCGTGAAGTAACTTGTTTTCATCTGTCTGTGGTACCTACCCCTGCTTAAGGCGAAGCTGGGGCCATTCCTCCTGGCACACCAAGATGGTGAAAGTCTCAAAGCTGAGCTCTCGCCGACGGTTCATCACCGCTATTGGGGCACACATCATTGATGACAATATCCAAACCACGGAGACTGTCACCAAGATCCTCCGGCGTGTAAACATGGACCGAGCTTTTAGAGGAGATTGAACGCTGTAGTAGCGGTTCACGCTGATCACTGTCAGCGTCAGCACACTGGCAGACACTGAGACGGCCTGTGTAAAGGGCACGGCACGGCACAGGAGGTCACCGTACACCCAGGCAGTGTAGATTTTGTTCCCCAGAGTGATGGGCATGCATACGCACACCACAGCTAGGTCACACACAGCCAGATTCACCAGGAGACTCCTTGTGGCACTGACACCTGCGAGCCGTTGACTGTGCCTGCTGGTCAGAACTCGTAGGGACATCAAATTCCCAATAAATCCCAAGATGAACGACAAGCAGTACATGATGGTCAGGGCGATGGTGCTGGGTTCATGGAGGGTCCACAGAAGCATACTCTCCAAGTCCTTCAAATCAGTGTATGAGATGTTAGAGAGGGAAAAGGGAAAGGAGGAGACATTGATGGATTCATTGATGGCTGAGGAGGATGTTGGGAAAAAAAGAGGGAATGAGATAAAGGGGGTGTGTGGAGAAAGGGAGGAGGGCCGCAGTGTGGGGAAAGGGTAGAGTGGAGCAGTAGGGGAGCTGATGGAAGAAGTCAGCATTGTAGTGATGCGGAAACTCATTGAGTCGTTGAGTTTTTCCCAAAGCAGTGGAGAGAAGCTGGGCTGGTCCTGGGTTTGATCCATGCTTGTTTCTAATAAAATAGATAAATATTAGACAAACTAGCACTAGAATAAACAGAAATTCATTATCAAATAGGAATCTATCAGTGGTTATTAAGATCCTATAAACATGCTAAAAAAATTCCTTACCAGAGATGTAGGATCAGGTTCCATATTCTACTCCTGTGGTCTTCCAGTTCCTCAGGAGCATGTGGGTGAAAATCTCTAAAGCACCATGAGAACAATTACTCTCCATCTTGAGCCACATGTTATGAGTCAGCTGGAGTCATGATGCTGTTCATCTGTGGTCCCAATACACTCCTTATGCAACATAAGCACGTTCATTCCTCCTGGGAGTGGCTGTTCGATCCTGATAATTTACCACGCATTAATAGGCTTTTTCACCTTTGATGAAGGTAAACCTGGTGCATACCTCCCTCATCTCCATCTTTTCCCTGTAGGATGTTTGGTCCATCATTCTGATCATTTTAAAACGTACGTTACAGATATCAACTGCAACATTTGATGTCTGAAAAAAACAGTAAAAGACAGCAAATCAAACAGGACAGCAAATAGCATATTTTATTTTATTTGAATTTATTAGACAACTTAAATACAAGGCCTTGAGGCAAAGAGGGTTCTTGCTCTAAAAATATATTTTTTTTAAGTTATTACAATCATAAGCAAACTAAAACTAAATAACTAACATTACCCTTCTGTGGGGACATGGTAAAATACATATAAAGGTATACAGTTATTTTTATTAGCATTTCTGTTATTAATTGTTGTATAATTCAAATAAACAAATTGAAACAATGTCTGTAGAGCTTGTAGAAAAATATATTAAAGACAGCTTAATCTCTACTTCCTTTATAAGAACAAAATCATAAATGTTACATTTTATTACATTTAGCTTACTTACGATACATGTGTGGGTCATTTTTGGATCTTGAAATCCTCAGGATTTTCTAGAAAAAGCCAAATAAAATTCTGCATTCACGGAAAAACAGTGGCAAAGTTCATCAAGGATCCCCTAGAGCCGGTAAATAGGTTTCCTTGTCGGTGTTTGAAGCCACAGAGACTTGATGGAAGAGCCTTGTGCATTTCCCTCCGCACTCTTCTCTGTGCGCGCTTCTACCAGCAGGAGCTCCGAGCACAACCAGCAAATGCAGGACCTAGAGACGACTGAAAGCATAGAGGGGAGGGAGAGAGGGAGCAGCTGTAGCCAAACACGCACACACATGCGCACACATATTACCATGCACTCTTCCAGTGAGCACCTATAGCTCCCTGAAATCCTGTAATCAATCTGAGCTGCTGTCAGTTAACTCTGCAGTCTCCTCTTAGCTGAAAGCACAGCCACTTATTCCAGTTTAGTCTTAAAATCTGATGGTTGACCCTCTTTGTTGAACAGCAGCTTCTAGTCCTGATCCTATGCCTTCTACATCTTACAGTGGGGAGAACAAG